AGAATGAGCAAATTCTAGAACAAGATCATTGATAGCACATGCAAGTGAAAATTTTCTGATGAGCATCCAACAATAGTTGCAGCAGTACATTGACAGGGAGCTGCCAGAGTTTCAGGCTGGATTCAGAAGAGGATGTGGAACAAGGGCTATCATTGCTGATGTCAGATGGATCTTGGCTCAAAGTAGAGAATATCAAAAAGATGTTTGTTTGTGTTTTGTTGATTATGCCAAAGCATTAGACTGTGTAGATCATAACAAACTATGGATAACCTTGAGAAGAATGGGAATTCTAAAACACATCATTGTGCTCATATAGAATCTGTATATGGAACAAGAGGCAGTTGTGTGAACAGAACAGGGGGCTACTACGTGGTTTAAAATCAGGAAAAGTGTACGTCAGGGTTGTATCCTCTCATCACACTTCTTCAATCTGCATTTTCAGCAAATAATCAGAGATGAAGAAGAATGCAGCCTCGGGATTGGAGGAAGGCTCATTAACAGCCTGTGATATACTAATGATAACCTTGCTGGTTATCAAGCACTTGTTGAAGATCAAAGACTGCAGCCTTCAGTATGAATAAAAACCAAAGGAAAAAAAAACAAAAACCCCCAACAAGGAAACAAACGGTAAAAACAAGAAAAAAAAAAAAACAAAATTGCCAAAGGGTTCAACCCCACGAGCAACAACAAACAATCATCAAAGAAGCAGCCAACAAAACACCACGGAAAAAAGCTGCAACAAACAACCTCAAAAAAATGAAAAAAAGCAAGGATACTACCAGCACGAAGAAGCACCACACCAAACAAACCATAGTATCCACCACTGCATAAGAGGCAGAAAAAAGCACAACACCAACAACCAACAAGAAAAAAGAAGAATCGGCGTGTTTGAATTGTGGCACAGGAGAAGCACATGGAAAGTACCGTCGATTGCCAAAAGAACAAACAAATCTGTCGTGGAAGAAGTACAGCCAGAGTGCTCCTTAGAGGCGAAGATGGCAGGGCTTTGTGTCATGCACGTTGGACATATTGCCAGGAGGGACCATCCCTGGAGAAGTACATCAGCCTTGGGAATGCAGAGGGGCAGCAAAACCGACGAAGGCCCTGGACGAAATGGACTGACACCACCCACGGCTGCAACAATGAGCTTAACTAACAACTGTGAGGCTGGCACCGGACTGGGTGTGGTTCATTCTGTTGGACAGTGGATAGCTCTGTCAGAACTGACGCAATGGCACCCAACAACAACAACAACATAGGACAGAGTAGAACTGGCTCTGTGGATTTCAGAGGGTTTAAGTCTTTATGGGAGCAGAGAGCCTCATAGTTCTCCCACAGGGCGGCTGGTGACTTCAAACTGCTGGCCTCGCAGTTAGGAGCCCAATGCATAACCCACTGCCCCACGGGG